CCGGGGAGATCATATTGGAGAATGATATGAAGCTGGAGGTTATACCATTTTGATCTCGTCCACGTGTATCCTTTGTTGCAGCTCTTCGCCCCTAAAGTGTTACACCGATTTGCCATCCTCACTTGTCCAAAGTTAAAAAAGATGTGTCCTGACTTAGGGTCTTCAACTTTAGATGTGAGTCTTGTCAACTAGAAAACATGGTAGATCTATCTTTCCTAAAAAGGTCTCAATCAATGGTGGTAATTTAGTTTTTCTATTATTCATTCCTGATGTCTGGGGACCTAGTAGCATCTCTTCTTTGGTTTTAGGTATTTTGTTAACATTTATTAATGAGTATTCTTAGATTACTGGGTTTATCTAATGAAAGCTCGCTCTGAATGTTTACCCATCTTCACATCCCTTTTTAAATGAATCAAGAACCAATTTGTAAGTATTAAATCTTAGAAGTGATAATGCTAAAGAGTATTTCTCCTCCACTTTTTCTTGCAATCCTTAGCTCCCATGGTATTTGCATCAGTCCACTGTCCTCATCACCCCAGCAAATGGTATAGCTTAAAGAAAAAATAGACACTTGGTTGAAACTGCCTCGTACCCTTTTTGCTTGTGCCCATATTCATGTTCATCACTCGGGGATGCCATCTTAACTGCATGTTGTCTTATTATAGGGTGCCCTCCTCCTCTCTCAATAATAAAGTCCCTTTCTCCATTCTCTTTCCCAATGATCATCTCTTTCACACCTCTCCTTGAGTTTTTGGTTGTGTCTGTTTTGTTCACGCATGTCTCTGGGGCTAGACAAGCTCTCCACTCGTGCAATCAAATATGTCTTTTTAGGCTATTCTCGGCTTCAAAAAGGGTACCGGTGTTACTCCCCTAAAACCAAGAAGTACTACATGTCTGCCGATGTTACATTTTTTGAACAAACACCTTTCTTCTCTCCATCTATTCAAGATGTTCATATCCTCCAACAGGTCCTTCCCTTCAGTGGTTGAGTCCAATACTCCAATGTCTCAGTCAATCCAGTCATGCTCAAGGTCCTCCAAACCTTCCTCTCCACATATTGATATCTTTTTCCGCCCAATACCCCCGATGGTAGTCCTCTTCCAGAAAATGGTGGATCTCCTCCTTCAGATTCTTCTCCCTCACCGCCTCCTGCCATGTCTCCTGGTGAAAATGATTCTGGTTGGCCCATTGCTTTCAAAAAAGGTACTCGTTCTACTCGAAACCCTCATCCCATTTATAATTTTCTTAGCTATCACAGACTGTCGTCCTCCTTTTATTCCCTTTTATCCTCAGTGTCTTCTGTGGTTTATACCCAAAAATGTGAAAGAAGCACGTGATCATCCTAGATGGCGACAAGCCATGATTGCAGAAATGCAGGCTCTTCACCACAGTAATACTTGGGAGCTTGTGTCACGTGCTTCATCATGATTGCAGAAATGCAGGCTTTTATTATCATTCATCTCTCAGGAAATGTGTTTATTTAATAGTATATGTTGATGATATAGTCATTACAGGAAATGATACTGCTGGAATATCTCAATTGAAGAAGTACTTGTGTAGACATTTCTGAACCGAGGATCTTGGAATCCTCAAATACTTCTTCAGGCATTGAAGTAGTCTCAGTCAAAAGATGGAGTTGTAATCTTCCGAAAGGAAGTATGCTCTGGATATTTTTGCAAGAAACAGCAGGACTGATTTGTAGACCGGTTGACAGTTCTTGGACCCAAATAAAAAATTAACACAAAGAAGGTGAGTTAATTTTCCGACCCGGAGAGATATAGAGGCTATTTTTTTGCGAAAAAACTATCTATCTCACATTACAAGGCCCGGATCTATCTTTTGCAGTTGAACTGGTTAGTCAGTTCATGCAAGCTCCATGTGTTGGCCATTGGAATGCTATCATTCGCATTCTAAGGTATGTGAAAAAGGCTCCCCTGGCAAGGGCTGTTATATGAAGAAAAAGGAAGCCTTCAGGTATCAGGATATTGTGATGCCGATTGGGCAGGTTCTCCTATTGATAGACGATCTCTTACTGGATATTGTGTTTTCTGGAGGAAACATTATCTCATGGAAAAGTAAGAAACAAAATGTAGTGGCTCGATCAACAGCTGAAGTTGAATATAGGGCAATGGCGTCACTAACATGTGAACTTATATGGGTGAAGCAGTTCCTTCAAGAGCTTAGCTTTTGTGACATCCAGAGTATGAAGATGTATTGTGATAACCAAGCTGCTCTTCACATTGCATCAAATCCAGTGTTTCACGAGAGAACTAAACATATAGAAATTAATTGTCATTTTGTTCGGGAAAAGTTATTGTCAAAAGAAATATGTACCGAGTTTGTTGGATCAAATGACCAACTTGCAGATGTGTTGACCAAGTCATTAAGGGGACCTCGGATTGAGTTTATTTGTTCCAAGCTTGGTACATACAATCTGTATGCTCCAACTTGAGGGAGAGTGTTAGAATAATTACTGTTACATATCATCATTAAGGCTAGTCTGCTAGACCAGTAATGAGTAGTACCTAATTCTGTACCTAGAGGTCTAGTGCAGACTCTTGGTATTCCATGTACTCTTGCTTTTTCAATATATATAGAAGATAATGAGAGGGATCTGTGAAGCCCTCAAGAATATATTTTTATCAGTTTTTAATCTCAAGTAACATATTTAAGTCTTCTTTAAAATTATTTTATTTGCTAATATGTACTTTTTACTTAATAAATTAATTTTAAAATTTTATATCTGTTAAGACAATCATCAAGAGCAAGAAATAATATAAATGTCTGAAAATATAAATTCTAAAATATGAATTTAAGTAGAGGGAACTAATTGTTTCCAGCTACATTGATTTATTGGTTAGAATTAAACTTTAGTAATTTTTCTGTAAACGAGAGCGACTATAGGCACTAAAGTAGTTCAAACCTAGGAGATAACCTCTCTGTTTGTTGGGATAAGGGCCACTATGCTGTGCACGTCCACCTCCTCAAGACTCCATTAGGTAGGAGCATCTTGTACTGGGCTACTGTCTTGGGTTTTAGATTGATAATAAGATCACTTGTAATGTGCTACCGACCATCCTAATCAAGGGTTAGCATAAACTTTTTTAATTTGATAACTACGTCTAGAATGGTTGCATGGTAATTCTTTGGTAGAGAAATGCTCAACAGACAATATTGTTATAATTGTAGGATTGTAGCTCCCGACACCATAGTAGTCAAAATCGCATTATGATAGTCTATTGAGTATTTCCCTCTCCTGCTCAAGCAGAAGCAAATATTGTTCAAGTCAATTGGTAGCCTCCTAGTATCCTTAGATTTAAACTTCAGAAAATATATGTCCTTGTAATTGTAAATACTTGTTATCTCCTCCCCAATTCTGAAGCCTGTTGCCATCTATAGGCACAATCTCCAATGCTTTCTTTTATGCTAGTGTACTCATTGCTCATATATATATATATATAT